GAACATGAAAGGAACGAGACAAACATTAAAAATTATTCCCCTTTATATACCTTTATTTCTAATAATTACCAGTAACCTCATTTAGTAATAAGTATTATTTAATAAATTTATTATTAAGATAATTTCAAAAATATTATTATATTAATTAAGATATTAATATATATATTAATTATAATATATTATATGTTATATATATCTTATGATTTCTTAATATATATAATATAATAACAATAGATTTAATGAGAAGAAATGGATGAAGATGAGGGATAGCAGTAGCTGGTGGTAGACGATTAATAGGAAATGGAAGAATAAGGAGAATAAGAAGCGAAGTGTGGGAGGAAGAGAGTGCAGAGATAGCGATGGAATGAGAGATAATGAAAGATGCATAAGGAATGGAAAAAAGATGCGAATGCGATAAAATGGATGAGATGCATAGATAGATAAGTTAGATTTTCTTTTATTACTAAATTTTCCTATTACCTACACTTATAGTATGATATTATTTTTAATTTTTTACATTTATTAAATTTATTTAATTATAACTAGTTTTAGTTTTTTAATTATTTTTTTTTAATGTCTTTTATCCTTTTTGATTTTCTTTCTTACTTTTTTATCTGTTTGCGAATGGGATGGGATGGGATGAGATGGCGATGGCATGAGATGGCATGCGATGCCATAGGATGGGGATGCATGGGATGCGATAGAACTGGGATGGGATAGGATATGGGATGATGCAGTGCGATGGCGCGTTGGGATGGCATTTGCCAATGGGAATGGACATGCGATGGCATGGATGGATGGATGGCATGCGATGGTATGGATGCGATGCGATGCATGCATGGATGGATGCATGGATAGCATCAGATTTTTTGCGGGTATTTTCTTATCAACCAAGAGGTCACCAGCTGCAGTAACGCACTGATTTCCCTGGGCCAACGGCCGGGTATCCCGCTAGTATATATATTGGTATATATATATAGTATATATATACTATATATATCAATTATATTATATTCATATTCGTGTTGCTGACCGGGGTTTTTCCGGTTAGACTGTCGGGGTCCTGCTGGCCCTGCCAAAACTGAACACCATATTACACATACGCTCACGGCGTCGACACATGACTAAGCACGAAATTCAATTCTGAGTGTTCGCCGTTTGTTTACTCGGGGGGCCATGAACGTAAAACTTAACTTACGTTGTGATTTTTGAGTCCATTGCTTCGCTTGCTGTGTTTGTGTGGTGCGACACTGTGTGTGGGTGTCCCGCCGGTGTGTGTGTGTGTGTGTGTGTGTGTGTGCTGTGTCAGATAGCATAGCCATCGATGGATAGTAGTGTCAGATAGATTAGCATCGACTGGATAAAGTGTCCCCAAGGGAGACGATAGATGGATAGATGGATTTAGATAGCATAGATAGATATATTAGATAGAATAAGACATGAATAGATAGCTAAGATAGCATAGACTAGATAGATCGATGGCTAGAGTGCTCAGATAGGATAGACTGATGGATAGAGTGTCAGATAGATAGATCGAATGGTATAAGCTGTCAGATAGATAGATAAATGGATGGAGTTCAGATAGATAAACGATGAATAGAGTCAGACTTAGATAGCCATAGATAGATAGATAAGATAAGGTCCAGCAATAGCCGGTGTCAGTATACGATAGATTGCATGGATATATATATAGAGAGACTACCGGTCCCTATACTCGCCCAACCCCACCTCTATTCATTTTCCCCTCACCACCGTACGGTGCCGATGCCTGAATTACCTTTACATTCCCCATTTCCTGCCTCCTCCCTCGGGACTAGCGAGGATGTACGCCGGCATCTTCCATGTTTACCCACTCCGCCCTTGCCCCTGTCTGTGCACCCGAGTGTCAGATACACAAAACGATTAAAGGTAGCATAGTAGTAGAGTGAGGTGTATTTGCTCATTACAAACGAATATAAACTACTAGCAAGAATGGAAGAGATCGAGAACGGAGAGAGAAGAACGAGGAGAGCGACACCGGGCCGAAATAGAGCGAGGAAAGTGGGAGAGAGAAGAGAGAGAGAGGAAGCACGCAGAAAGAGGAGAGCAGAGACGAGAGAAGAGGAGACAGCAAAGCGAGAGAGTGAGAGAGAGATACACACACACACACGCACGCACGCACGCCACACCACCAAAGCACGGCACGCACGCACGCACGCCGCGCGCACACACCACACACACACACACATCCGTGTGGGCACGCGTTCTGCTGAAATGCGTTCGTAACGTTCTCCCGCGAGTCGGTAATGCCGTATTCCAGATGTTTTGGAAGTGTTGTCATCCGTCTGAAGCTGGCATTGTTGTTCTTTGGTGAAGTCGTCACGTTAACGCAGTTAGCTGTGGTTATTGACGCTTATCATTGGATGTGTTTATTAAAGGCGGAGAGTGGTAGAAAAACGCTGGAAAAAAGCACAGTTTCGGACTGTAAACCGTTTTAGAATGAACCTGACGAAGATACCACAAGTCGAAACTAGGTTCATTTGGCTACACTTTGCTGCAGCAATTTCTTAAACAGGAAAACATTTTTTAAATACTACATATATAATGCAACACCAAAACAGCAAGCCCGAATACCACGTGGGGTAAAATCAGCTTGAAGCGGTGCCCCGTTAGAGGCTGTCCAGGCCTCCTTATTCACACATGTCATTCATTGTGTCATTGCAATAGAGAACAATGGACATTATTGATTGACTGTTGTATAATTTGGATGTTCTTCTATTGAACGTTGGCTACTGACGATGTCATCTTGATTGTGTTGATTGAAGTTGTTATTGACGCCATCATTGATTGTGTAGTTACTTGACGTTATTATTTAATTGTATTTGTTGGCGTTGCTTACTGACGCTATTATATAGCCAAGCCGCGCACCCGGAGTTTGCAAAGATCTCTCT